AGATATGCACTTACCCAACCCTCACTTCCTCGAGATGTAGCCAGACTATTTTGTGTGTTCAACTGATTAACATACGCATAGGCTTCGCGAAGATCTAAACCAGCTGCTAAATTCGTTTCCGTGACACGCTTCTGCGGTTCTTTTATCGCCTGTTCCCTCTGAAAATGACGATGGTCGAAATATTATCTTGGAAACAACCATCTTTTAAACGACAATTTCTAGGGAAAAATTGCGTTACGTACCATATCCAAGTCTGTGTCAGGCCCCTAACTTTCAGAGCCTCCTCAAAAAGTGCCATTCTATGCGTTAACATTAGAAGTTGGCTAAGGAAACGCAGCACTAAGATACCAATAGAATAGAAGGGCTAGAGAAAGCCGAACCAAAACTGGACGGCCCAAGTAGGGCCACCGAAGAGTGTGGTGAAACTGTCAAGTGATTTGCTGCGGTCAAAGGTAGGCCGAACCATAGAGTATCTGAAATAACGACCCGCACAAACCAAAGAAAATTTAGCTTGTTGAACCATACAGTATACCATAAAAATTTTAGTGGTCGTTAAAAATCAATGGGTTTGTTGAGCTAAAAAATGCAACACATGGGTTCTAGTAACTAGCAAAATCGACTGAACTACTTCAGTGGGGCTCCGCTAAACTAGCCAATGTGATAAAGGCTACTAACATGTAAAAAGGCCAGTAGGAAGGCCATCGATGTGCTGGTCCGATCCGCTAACCCGGTGATATTGAGTACTGTGGATGAGGCGAGCTCAGGATAGAACTCGGTGGCGAGGTTGTCGGCTCAGTCACTGGAGGAGATCAACAGCACGTTAGTGACGGAAACGCCGTATCAAATAACAAGTAAAAACAAAAAAACGCTAACATTTTCCTTTTGTTTCATATTTCGTTCCGGAACTACAACGCTTTGATCTGGCACAGAAAGCGTCTGTAGGAAATCTTTCGCTGGATTCATCTGCTCCATACCATGATGCTCGGAAGCTCTTTCAGGCTTGCTTTGATTTGCCTTTTCCGGGAAACCTGATAGTAACTGTTGTCGTTGCTCATCACTGACACTAGCCATTTCTGGCTCTGTTATATCCCTTGTATCAGAAGCTGTCTTTGCTTGTATCCATAAATAATCTTGTCGAGTATAATTTTTGAATGGCTGGTCACGGAACAAAAAGGAATCGACTGGATGAAGCTGATTCTGAAAGAAAATAAAAAACTCTTCACATATCGACAAAAACTCTTCACATCACACAGAATTCTTGAATCAACTGCGGATTTTGACGTAATCGTACGTAAATGTGCGCGATTGCTGAATTTGAAATTTTTAGCTCGCATATGCACAGAGAATATCCAACTATGCACTGTTAACTTGCTTTGACCAGTGCTACTTCATTCGATTGTCAGCCTGTTGGCGTGTATTTCGTCTTCTAAAAAGACTACTCGCTCAGGAGGCTACAAGTCATT